TAATTCTTTTCATCGGTTGGTTGTGTCCAATCGTACCGTGGTCAATCGGGACGCTCCCCATTTAGACTAGACGTAACTTATAGCGAATTCGGTAGCTTGCACTAGTGCGCACTGAGTGCGCATTAAGGCTTGTTTACAGTACATTCTTATATTTAAGATCGTGTCTTAAATACATATTTAAGAACATTTTAGCTAATAAAATGATTCGTACGGATGTTATACATATCATATTATGGTTAAAAATATTTGAGAATTTATTTGAGAATTATTTAAGACAATCTTTAAATATAATAACATACTATGAACAAGCCTTAGTGCGCACTCAGTGCGCACTAGTGCAAGCAACCGAATTCGCTATTAGACTTCTCCGACGTCGGTTATGGCTTCTGCACACAGGATGCGGTAATGCTTGCCGCGCGGCGGAAACTAATCAATATGTTGTTTTTCCTTAAGAGCTAGAAGGTTATTACGGAAAGTAGCATATTGATTGGTTGTCGTGTGAACTTCCGCCACGCGGCAAGCATTACTGCATCGTGTGTGCAGGAGCCATTAGACATCGAATCGACGTCTACGTTCTCGCTGGGATATCTTATTTTGTGTTTTTATATTTACCTTGCAAATCTGATTTCTTTTCTTGTTACTTTAAAAATTGTTGATTTTTATATCATAACAAAGTTGTATAACTTTTTTTTAATGTAATAATTTATTTGAAGAAAAAATGAAAAAGTCTGTTATTGACGATTAAAGAAATATATTTTTCATATATTTTAATAATAACTGCAATTCATGGACACACACATAAAATATCTTTCACATGGTAAAATAGAAATCATAAGTATGTGATAGTTTATATAATAGCCGTTGTTTTATCTTGGTGGCATGTACTTGACCGGAAAAAAACTCCGGTTGGAAAACTATTTTTTTAAATCGTTTGTATTTCGTATGAATAGTTTTGAAGTGCAATTGAAAAGATTTGAGTCATTCTATTACTTGTAATTAATTGTTTTTTTTTACCATGTATTTAGCCGGAAATAATGACGGAGGTAAATTAAATAAAGATTCGATATGGTATTGTTTGTATTTTGTATGAAGAGTTATGAAGTATTATTAAAAAGATTTGTGAATCATCCAGATAATTTTAATTAAATATTAAAGAATCATGTATTTGACCGAAATATCGATCTTAAGCGCTGCTGTGGAAGTACCGTTAGGCACGATCGATGTACTATCTAGTATTTCAAGACTCCTGGTTCGTTTTCGGGTAATTATGTACAATAAGACCTTTTTCGAATTTTAATATTTTTTGCAGCTCTTTTGGTAAAAATATTTATTTTGACTCCAACATTGGTAATCAATCGGGGGAGTCCGAAAAATATGCAAGTTATATATTGTTTTAACTTTTTTAATTTTTTTCATTTGTCCAACGTTGCTGCTTTCCCACAATTTAAACAAGTTACTGATCTTTTAATCACATTATGTAACTGCAATATCGAACGACTAGCGGAGGGTTGCGCCCCCCTCACACCCACTCAAAACTAAGCTAACCGAACCTATCGTCACATTAACCGTCAGTCATTATTTATTAAAGTTTTCAACTTTTTTTCTTAATAATTTTTTAATAAATAATGACTAACGACTAATGTAACGACAGATTGGGTTAGATTAATTTTGAGAGGGGTGCGGGGGGCGCAGCCCCCCGCTAGTCGTTCGATATTGCAGTTACATAATGTGATTAAAAGATCAGTAACTTGTTTAAATTGTGGGAAAGCAGCAACGTTTGACAAGTGAAAAAAAAAGTTAAAACAATATATAACTTGTATATTTTTCGGACTCCCCTGATTGATTGTCAATGTTGGAGTCAAAATAAATATTTTTTACCAAAAGAGCTGCAAAAAATATCAAAATTCGAAAAAGGCCTTATTGTACATAATATCCCGAAAAATAACCAGGAGTATTGAAATACTAGATAGTACATCGATCGTGCCTGACGGTACTTCCACAGCAGCGTTTGAGATCGATATTTCGGCCAAATACATGATTATTTATTATTTAATTAAAATTATCTGGGTGACTCACAAACCTCTTTAATGATACTTCATAACTCTTCATACAAAATACAAACGATACCATACCGAACTTTTGTTTAATTTACCTCCGGTCATTATTTCCGGCTAAATACATGGTAAAAAAGAAACAATTAATTACAAGTAATAGAATGACTTACAAATCTTTTCAATTGCACTTCAAAACTGTTCATACGAAATACAAACGATACCATACCGAACTTTTGTTTAATTTACCTCCGGTCATTATTTCCGGCTAAATACATGGTAAAAAAGAAACAATTAATTACAAGTAATAGAATGACTTACAAATCTTTTCAATTGCACTTCAAAACTGTTCATACGAAATACAAACGATTTAAAAGAATGGTTTTCCAACCGGAGTTTTTTCCACATACGTTAAGTACATACGAATTGTGTGGCCAGCTTAAGAATTGACCAATCACTTTGAGTATCGTCGAACCGTAAAGTCGCCATTTTTGTGAATACTCGATTGTAATTGGTCCATGTTTACAGTACGTCTTACGCTACTGTTAAGGCTCATCTACAATAGCTGTAAGAATAAGGGCTATCGCACACAAATTGACATAACTGCATATGCATAGCATAAGACCGTATGTACCAATGAGCATCGAGTATTAAGTCGCCATATTGGTGTTCGATGCTTAATTTTCGATGCTCATTGGTCCATACGATCTTATGCTATGCATATGCACTTATGTCAATTTGTGTGCGATAGCCCTAAGGCCGTAACTTGAGCTGTCAGCGAATGAAAATAATTCATTTCGCGTCTTATAGCCTTACAGCCATATTTTTACAGACATTGTAGACCACACTTTATGTCAATTCGTATGCGGCGCCCCATAAGCTCGTATCAGACTATGGATTAAGCATAAACATAGTATAGGCTGCGTTCAGATTCCCCACCCGGGTGTATTCTATTACTAGAAGTGCTATAGTATATGTCACATATATTATAGTGTTTCTAATAATAGAGTGCACCCGGATGAGGAATCTGAACGCACCCATACGTGGGCCGGTATTCATAGTCGAATCTTATTTCAAGACCGTCTTAAGTAATGTCTTAAGATGCGAATACGGCTCTGTGATTGGTTCATGACATCTTAAGACAATACTTAAGGGTGCGTTCAGATTCCCTACCTAGGTGCACTCTGTTACTAGAAACACTATAGTATATGTCACATATACTATAGCACTTCTTGTATTAGAGTGTACCCGGGTAAGGAATCTGAACGCAGCCTAAGATGATTTTAAATATAAGATCGGACTATAAATACCGCCCATGGACTCCGAATGTCTTATGTTCTGTCGTCTAATAGAGTGAAACCAACATCTAGAAAGAGAGCGAGAAAAGAGGGACTATAGTTTTCTTTCTATGTCACTTTATTGTCGCGCGTGCATCCATTTCTCAATTCCATAAAATTATAAAGTGCAACAGCACCCCTAGACTGGCAAGTAAACATCTTATTTAAATCTTATTGCATATTTTGTCTGTGTAGAAAGAGACAGAAGGGCTGTACATATTGGTTGCGTTCAGCAGAGAAAGCTGCTTTGCAACTGTTGTAAAATTTGTGAATCTAATTGGTCACATGCTCTTGTATTTAACTCAAATAATTAATTACTGAATGCAGCTATTGGCTTCTCTTTTCTGACTGTATGCGGAGTCTATGGCCGGTATCATAGTTGAATCTTATTTCAAGACCGTCTTAAGTAATGGCTTAAGATACAAATACGGCTCTGTGATTGGTTCATGACATCTTAAAACAGTACTTAAGATGATCTTAAATATAAAATCGGACTATGGCTGGTATTCATAGTCTAATCTTATATTTGAGATCATCTTAAGTACTGTCTTAAGATGTCATGAACCAATCACAGAGCCGTATTCGCATCTTAAGACATTACTTAAGACGGTCTTGAAATAAGATTCGACTATGAATACCGCCCTATGAATATCGGCCTATGTATATTATATCTATGGTCGTTTTCTACATATTAGGATCACTTTTCTGACCGTATGCGGGGTCCATGAATACTACGTCCATAGAATTAAGGCTGGTAGACCGATCTTATATTTAAGATTATCTTAAGTACTGTCTTAAGATGTCATGAACCAATCACAGAGATGTATTCGTATCTTAAGACATTACTTAAAACGATCTTGAAATAAGATTTGACGAGTGGGACCCGTTTGATCACGGTACGATTGAACACAGATTGTAATGATTGGTTCGACCTAGTAATTCACTAGATAATTCTTTTCAACGATTGGTTGTGTCCAATCGCACCGTGGTCAATCGGGACGCTCCCAGATTCGATTATGAATACCAGCCTAAGATTAAAATTGAATTGAAATTTAGTCAATCAGAGCAAAATTCACTAAGCTCAAGTTTAGTGAACTTTGCTCTGATTGGTCAATTATTAATTCAATCTCAATAATAGGGTACGGTCCAACGGGCGCTGCAAATGCTTTGTAGCGTTTTTACTTCTTTCTCTTTCTTCTTTCGAATCCGAGAAATAGAACAAGAGGAAAAAACGCTGCGCAGCATTTGTAGCGGTTTTGAGACCGCGCCCTTATGACACCGGCACACATGATACGGTAATGCTTGCCGCGCGGCAAAAGTTCGCGCGACAGCCAATCAATATGCTGCTTTCCGTAATAACCTTCTAGCTCTTACGTAAAAACAACATATTGGGTGCTTTCCAGTTACGTTTTGTGTATTACATAAAACCAGTTTATTGGTTGTATATTATCTTACAAGATATTTTAGTTAATATGCTATCAATAAACTGATTGATAAGTATGTGTTAAGCAATTGGAAAACACCCATTGATTGGCTGTCGCGCGGACTTCCGCCGCGCGGTAAGCATTACCGCGTCCTGTGTGCAGAAGCCATTAGGACCAGCGCAAGAACATTGCCGTAGCTTCTTACGCCATCTTAGGGTGAGTTCAGATTTTTCACCCGGGTGCACTCTATTACTAGAAACACTATAGTATATGTTACTATGACACTTCTAGTAATAGAATACACTCGGGTGTGGAATCTGAACGCAGCCTTACGTGACAACCTTACGTTACGTGAGACGTAAGCTGAACGTACGGCAACGCATGAAAATTTTACATTATGTTACGTTATGAAGGAACATAGAGGTTCTGTGACAAAGGTAATTAAATCAGATTATTTAACAATAAGTAAAGAAACAATAATAATTTATTTTTACAGCCATAATTAGAAATGTCTATATTGAACACATATTAATTTTATTAAACTGTTAAATGTATCTGTACAATATTATAAACATTGCGCTATAACCTTTTTTTAACACTATGTATAGAATATGTTTGACATATAAATATTGAAATAAAATTTTAGGTTTTCAAGTCAACAAATATGAAAACATCAAAGTCTATGAAGTTAAAATGTTTATGGTTGTCATTACTCTTAATTTATTATATGAGATTAAAATAGAGAAACACACAAAAGATGGTAAAATAGAAGATGGCTCGTGAGACCAATTAATCAATAGAGAAAACAGCAAAGAGAATGAAAATTTGTTTCAAGAATTAAAAACTGATGAAGACATGTTTGTCAAATATGCCAGAATGAATGTTCAACATTTTAACAAGTTATCAACCATGCTAAGACCTTATTTGGTAAAAGAACTAAGAAAGCTCTGTCTCCGGAACCCAGATTAATAATAACATTAAGGTAAATATAATTTATTAGTAAAAAATTGTTTGATGTAACTACTTCTTAAATTTTTAGTTATGTTTAGAAATTATTGTTAGAAAAAATGTTTTACGAAATTATAAATTATATAGCAAAAATTGTAATACTTTTTCAGATATCTTACAACAGGGAATTCAATAGCAAGTATTGCATTTTCTTTTCGAGTTGGGCAGTCAACTGTTAGACAGTTAATGAAAGAAGTGTTTTTTTGTTATTGTTAATACATTACAGTCTCTATATTTAGTATGTCCAACTGAATAACAGTGGAAGAACCGATAGAATATGTCTAAATACTTTGGAGCTATTGACGGGAAACACATAGTTTTGCGATGTCCTCCTAATTCTGGAAGATTGTATTTTAATTATAAGAAACAATTCAGCATTGTTCTTATGGCAATATCTGATTATTTATATAGATTTAGTTTAGTTGATATAGGAGCCTATAGAAAAAATAGTGACGGAGGCATTTTTGAATCGTCAAATATTGGAAAATATTTAAAAAATAATGGACTTAATTTGCCCACTTCACGCTCTTATTTTCCCGGAAGTAATATCTTTATGCCTCGATTTTTTATCGCAGATGCTGCGTTTCAATTATGTACTCGTATAATGATCCATCAGCAATATTTTTCCACTATTCTTCACTCCACTATTCTTCAACTAGACACACTTCTTTCATTAACTGTATAATAGTTGACTGCCTCGAGTTGAACTCGAAAAGAAAATGCAATACTTGCTACTAAATTCCCTGTTGCAAGATATCTGAAAAATGTATCACAATTTTTGCTATATAGTTTATAATTTCGTAAAACATTTTTTTCTAACAATAATTTCGAAACATAATTAAAAATTTAAAAAGTAGTTACATCAAACAATTTTTTACTAATAAACTATATTTACTTTAATATATTATTACTATTTTCCGGAGATAGAGCTTTCTTAGTTTTTTTACCAAATAAGATCTTAATATGGTTGATAACTTATTAAAATGTTAAACATTCATTCTGACATATTTGACAAACATGTCTTTATCAGTTTTTAATTCTTGAAATAGACTTTCATATTCTCCTTGCTGTTTTCTCTGTTGATTAATTGGTCTCACGAGCCATGTTCTATTTTGCCATCGTTTGTGTGTTTTTCTCCATTTTAGTCTCATATAATAAATTAAGAGTAATGACAATAAACATTTTAACTTCATAGACTTTGATGTTTCCATATTTGTTGACTTGAGAACCTAAAATTTTATTTCAATATTTATATGTCAAACATATTCTGTACATAGTGTTGGGAAGAGGTTATAACGCAATGTTTATAATTTTGTACAAATACATTTAACAGTTTAATAAAATTAATATGTGCTCAATATAGACATTTCTAATTATGACTGTAAAGATAAATTATTATTGTTTCTTTACTTATTATTCAATAATCTGATTTAATTACCTTTGTCACAGAACCTCTATATTCCTTCGTAACGTAACGTAAAATTTTCATGCGTTGCCATTCAACTTACGTCTCACGTAACGTAAGGTTGTCACGTAAGATGGCGTAAGGAGCTACGGCAATGTTCGTGCGCTGGCCCTAATGGCTACTGCACACAGGACGCGGTAATGCTTGCCGCGCGGCGGAAGTTCGCGCGACAGTCAATCAATATGTTGCTTTTCCGTAAGAGCTAGAAGGTTATTACGGAAAGCAACATATTGATTGGTTGTCGCGCGAACTTCCGCCGCGCGGTAAGCATTAGGGCTATCGCACACAAATTGACATAACTGCATATGCATAGCATAAGACCGTATGTACCAATGAGCATCGAATATTAAGTCGCCATTTTGGTGTTCGATGCTTAATATTCGATGCTCATTGGTCCATACGATCTTATGCTATGCATATGCAGTTATGTCAATTTGTGTGCGATAGCCCTTACCGCGTCCTGTGTGCAGGAGCCATAAGACAGTACTTAAGGGTTGCTTTCCAACAAGAGACACAAGTCGACACAAGTATCATCCTATCTTTGGGTGCTTTCCAGTTGCATACACTGTGTTACATAAAACCAGTTAATTGATTGCATATTATCTTACAAGATATTTTAGATAAATGACCAATAAACTGGTTTTAAGTACGTGTGTATCAAGATGTGTTAAGCGATTGGAAAGCACCCTTTGTTACTCACTAAACGTGGAACAAAGGGTGCTTTCCACTTTTGCTTAACACATCTTGTCACATATATACACAGAAATGCACAAAGTGTAACGTTGTGCACGATTCAATTAAGACAAAGTGTATACTAATGGCTTCTGCACACAGGACGCGGTAATGCTTGCCACGCGGCGAAAGTCCGCGCGACAGCCAATCAATATGTTGTTTTTCCGTAGGAGCTAGAAGGTTATTACGGAAAGCAGCATATTGATTGGCTGTCGCGCGAACTTCCGCCGCGCGGCAAGTATTACCGTGTCCTGTGTGCAGGAGCCATAACATGTATGTATGTCGGGAAAGGTTAGGATTATTTTTGAACTATGCTTATATTTTGGTATTTTTTAATGATAAATAATAAAATCTAAATAATAAAAAAAATATTATCCACTTCACGTCGCAAATGCCGTCTTTTTTCAAGCCTCTACGTTTATTAACTGTAATTTTCACTAGAAAACACTAGTTTACACAGCTGACTAGTAGCCCTCGAGTGAGTCCCAGATGCGCACATTGACAAACGGACACATCCAATCATATGTTGTTGTTTATAGAGTTTCTAGAATATCTCTAATCATACCGCGTTGTGGTTGGCTGTGTCCATTTATCAATGTGCGCATCTGGGACGCTCCCGTAGCCCTCGAGCTGAGTACGGATGTGTGTGTGTGTGTCAACGATTACGACATTGGAATGCAAGTTGTGTCGCTGTATACATGAAAGTATCTAGAGATATTGCAATTGGAAAGCACCCAAAGATAGAATGATGGTTGTGTCGACTTGTGTCTCTTGTTGGAAAGCAACCAAGATGATCTTAAATATAAAATCGGACTATGAATACCAGCCCTTGTCTGTAGTCTGATAATGCAAGGCTTGAAGCCTGCAACTAAAAAGAGAGAGAGAAAAAGTGAGTGAGTTTTGTTAGGTTATATTAGTATGTTATATCAAGAAATTATGAACTTAATTAAACGTAGCTACAAGTCTGCTGTGACATTCTGATTAAATACCAATATATTAGTATATTGCTAATATTTTACTTATTCGGTATATACACATATTTTCTATTTATTTATTTAAAAATGTTAATTATTTATATTCAACGTATTACGTGCAAAAATATATAAAATTTATGTTCTTTTCTCTCTATCTGCATAACATAATTTCAGTAGTAATTAATAATTGTATTTACCATATACTGATGTTAATGTAAATATATAGTAGAACTTTAAAAGAATATACAATTATCTTACCATAGTGGATTATTACTATATGTTTTTATGACATCAAACTAAGAAAATTAGAAAGAAAATATCAGAGTAACTATAAAACTTTAAAAAATGTAACTTGGATAATGTGCACAAAATATTGAAAACTTGAGATGCTTGTTTAAAGTACCTACACACATACTTTAAATAAAAACATATTTAGAAATAAAAACATATGTACCTCTCTCAAAATTATATATATGATTAATATCATAGAACTAACACTTTGTTTTTCTGAGTAGAATTATTTTGCTGGAGAAAACAAATAGTTGATAAATAGAAAAAAATTGAATATATATATATATATATGTATATATATATGTTTATATATATACATACATACAAAATATAATTACATACTACAAAATATTATTACTTATATCTGTATATATTAAATTATGGATCAATATTTTAAAAGTTATGAAGAACTTGACGTAAGTAGAACAAATGTATCATATAATACTTTTATACATACATATACATATGATATATTTATATCATACATATCTTTAGATTCACCAATTAATGCTAGATGACAAGATACGTGTCTTAGCATATAAAACTGCTATTTTTAATTCAAAAGATAAATTTCAAGGCAAAACAGTAATGGATGTTGGTGCCGGTACAGGTAATTATTATATTTCTAAATTAATGTATTATATTCCTGTCTATGATTAGCATTAAATTACATACACTTGCAGGTATATTGTCAATTTTTAGTGCTCAAGCTGGTGCAAAAAAGGTTTATGCAGTAGAAGCAAGTATACTAGCAAAGACTATTGAGCATGTATTAATAGAAAATAATGTACAGAACAAAATTGAAGTAATTCACAGTAAAGTAGAGGATATCCATCCAGATAGTTTGGAGAAAGTTGATATAATTATCTCAGAATGGATGGGTTTTTATTTAGTACATGAAGGAATGTTAGATTCTTTGCTCTATGCAAGAGATAATTTTTTACGGGAGAATGGTTTATTATTCCCATCCATAGCAAAATTGTATGCTTCACCATGTCAATTACGAATCATGTACGAATTTTGGGACAATGTACATGGAGTCAGTATGAGGTAGTTATTACAAAAGTATAAAGCAAAAATCAGCTTTTTGTAGATAAAAATATTTTTTAAATATGTATTTAACATTACAACTTCTATTAACTTTTATAAATTCCAATAAACAAAATTCATTTTAATTAAAAATAAACAGATAATTAAGAATATTTTGCCTCTATAATCTTTATTATCGCATAAATTGTCGCCTATTTTTATTATCGTATAAATTGTCCATTCTGCAACATGGTCTTAATTTTTGAATAGGTTCATTGGAAAGCAATACAGAGAAATTAAATCCATGAAGCCAGAAATACTGTATTTAAATCAAGATGATCTTTTAACTGAAGGTAAATTGCTGGCTTGGCTAGATTTAAAATGCATTTCTGTGGAAGATCTAAATCTACTGGGTGGAGAGGACTATGTATCAGTATGTGACAAAAATGGAAAATATCAAGGAATATGCATTTGGTTTACAGTTGAATTTCCAGATGGCTCAGAAATGTCTACAGGACCTTGCGTTGAACCAACACATTGGAAACAAACCATAATTGTTTTACCTACAGATATTAAAGTAATAAAACATGAACCTATTGCTTATAGATTGTCCTTAAAAAGAGATACATTGTGTCCAAGACATTATAATATAGAAGTAAATTTGTTAGATGCAGAAGAAGTGGAACATGATGTTCCATGTAATTGTCACATGACGAAATGCATAGTAACAAGGACGTATGTTACAGATTATGCAAATAATAAGACTGTGGCACCAGCTAAATCATATAAAATAGAAAATAATAATTTTTAGAGTTTTAAGCTGTACTATATAAAATAAATTTTTATATTATATAAGATAAATTTCTCCTCTTTATTTTTTACATATTTATATAATACAGGGTTTTCTTGTAACTGGACTATATATTTTTTCAAATAGACTTATTTAAAAATTTTACATTTCTCAATCTTCTATCTTCTTTAGGTGTAATATATAACGACATAACGGTATCGCAATTTTGCTTGTATATTTATTTATACAATACATGCACATGTGTTAGTGTGTCAAGCCTCGCTCAGGGCAACGATCACGTAACTTCGAGCGGAACTTTTTACTTTTCGCTCTATCGATTTAACGTGAACTTTTTCATTGTTTACGCAATCAAGTAACTCTATGCGTGAAAAGCACAAATCACTAAACATGATTCCTACATGATTTATCGGCCAAATCAACTATATCCATCGGCTGTAGAACATATTAATCTTAAAAACATCGCTATAACCTTAGGATTGTTATATTTCATGTAGCTCATAGAAACTTTTCACGTTTCCGCCCTAGGGGAAAAGTTATATGGTCGCTGCCTTGTGCTGGGAGTTCGGGATATATTTTCGCGCACGCGCATTGAGCAAACGCTGTGGTAACCTCAGCGCCATATCTATTTTAAGGTATCGTAAGATCCTTCACCTAAAAGAAAATATGAAGGGATTGTAGGGAGAAAAGAAAATTTGTGGGAAGAAACAGAATGCTGTTCATGAGTAAAAATAAATATATTTTTTATTTTGTAATTTCTGCAGCCAACTAATCTTTGAAAATATTTATATTTAACCATGTATATTGGAATTTTCTTCTCGCACATTTCCTCTTCTTTTCCTCGATGCCACTTGATGATGAAGGCTGTTGTTGACATTTCTTTTTTCAATACGGCACTTTTTTCTTTAATTAACTTAATAATTGCACTTTTTTTATCACAATATCACTTTATATTAAAATTGCACTTTTTTGTCACATTTTATTTATTATAAATATATAATATATATATATATATATATATATATATATATATATATATATATTATATTATCACATTTTTCACATACACAGCTACACTAATTATTATAACTATATTAATTATGCTAATTAATTATTGTAACATTTTACTACATCTAACCTAACCCTAACCACTCGCGGGCAAACAACAACAGACAGACGGCCGAATATTTTATGCATATCCTCTAAAAACCCTTTACTCGTGCCTACCGCCGTTATTGGAAACTGCTTACGTCGAGCTACTACGTCATCTCATGCATGCGCAGAAGAGCTCCTGTCAGCTAGAAAATATCCCGAACTCCCAGCACTGGCCTCGCTGTGTCTCGTAGCTATAGGCGGAGGGACGCAGCAAGTTGAGATTTGTGTATATCATGGTCGCACGCCGGCCGAAGACATCTTTCTCTCGGCTGTCGCTTTCTCTGCTCTCATTAGCTGAGACCTTTGACTATGGGTGCATTCGCTTTGAACGCTTACGCACTTTAAGCGCTTATAAATATCGCTCACGTCGTTTACTTTGGCGCTATAAGCGCTTAGAAACTGCATATTGACGTCATGCATGACGTCGTAACTCGCGCTTACATTCGCTTCTTCTATCGAGGTAGGGCAGTAAAAGCGTGAGCACTTATAAGTGCTTATTTTCCAAAGAGAACGATAAGTTAGATTGCGTCGATGAAATTGACGCAATCTAACCTCCAATATAAACCTTGAAGTGAAATAGTGTTTCAAAATGACTTCCAACGAAAGTAACAAAACCAGAGTAACTCTGCAAGATGTTACAAATAATAAAATGTATGTAATGTACTTGTTATTACATCAAATGAGGCAAAACGTGTAGAAACAGGTAAGTTTAGGACACCTCTCATAAAAATTTATTATTTTTGTTATTAAATCATATTTATTTTGAGTAATAAAGCACTGTCTAACAGTAATTTAAAAAAAAAATAAGTAATATTTCAGCAACACTAGTAATACATTTGATGAAGGGAACGGACTTTCTCACAAATTTACCTAAATCTTCATATTTTGTTGTATAAAATATGAATATGAAAGTTAAAATCGTTGATCTTAAATAAAACAAAAGTTATAAAGTGAAAAGTTATTAAAATGTGACTTAAATACTTCATCATTGTATAATGGTACAATCACTTCCACATAGTTTTTTAACCGAGTGTTTTAATTATTTTTTTATTAATTCAATCATTACGGATAAATACTTTTCTAATTCTTTTTTATATAAGTTATTTGTTTCGTTATCATCAAAAACATCTTGTTATGTAGGACAAAATATGATGAAACGCTAAAAGATGTTTCAGCCGAAATGCACGTGTTGCATAAACGAACACTCCGAAATACGGCAAGTAAATCAAAAGTGCACGCGCTGCAGAAACAGGGTGTATATCAGTTGGACACGGGGCAATTGGACACAGTCCAATCACAAGTCGCTGTTCCAAGGGACCCTACAAATGTCTCTAATCACACGGTGCTGTGATTGGCTGTGTCCAAATGCACCGTGTCCAAGTGCACAGCTCTCGCAGAAACATCACGTTATACTTTTGAACTGTTGAGTAATTAGGTCGGTAACCTAATATCCTAATTTCACGAATGATATATAAAGAGTTGGACTACCTACTCAGAGAGAGAGAGAGTAGAGAGAAAAGAACTGTCCAGTCTAAGAGCGCGCGCGTTACGTAGGTATGAGATAACTGACTCGAGAGTAACACGAGTATCCGACATTACAATAACGCGATACATTAATCTAAACGGTGTAGTATAAGTTAAAAGTGTACATGTAAAATACAATAAGAACGTTATCAGGAATTATAAGAAGAAAAGTTCTATTACACCAAACAATACGTTTTATTAAAAACACCTCAAGACTATTAAATTCCACTATCATCCTATACGTTTGCACGTTTACACCGGATCCCAACTACCGGTTGTGCTCATCGCCACCAAGGGCACAACAAAATTGGTGGCAGTGGTGGGATCCCGCGGTGTCCAAGCCTGCAACAGAAAGGAATAAGAGAAAGGTCAATTTGAAAGACTCAAAACATTGGGAATCAAAATAAACTATGAGGGACGACACACGAGAAAATGTATCGACGACTCATTAGAAGCAATTCAAGGAGATCTGAGGAACCGGAACAGACAACGCCACAGCAGAATCGAGGACGATCATCGGAGATACGATCACCAAAACGCCTGCTGTCAGCGACACCGGAGCCTACAGTACGTCAGCATACCGAGCTAACCCACCCCAAGTCATCACCCCATCATACGTCGGAGTAACGTACAGGGAGCAGAGGCAGCCCCAGCTGATTCAACCTTGACACCTAACGACGACCGACAGCGGATCGTGTAACAGAAACACTGCCAACGCAGCGAAAAAATACAACATGCGAATCACGGCGATAATGTAAGTCCAGAAAAACACTGTAATATATACGCATATTGAATGTCGAAAGGAAGCAATATATCCCGCGAACCAATAAGAAACCGTACCTGGTTGCATAGTGAACCTGCAACCAGAACCTTAAGGGGGTCATCCCGTGTGACGACCGTTTTTTTTAAGGTTTTTTTGCATTTTTTTGCGGCGAAATGAAAAAATACAGAGCTTCCAAATTTTTACTATATATTTATTACATTTTAAACTATATGTGTAAATTTTTTTATTTAAAAATATGGCGTCGATGGCGAGTTACATCACTGGAATGGCACCCATGTAAAAAAAAAAGCAGACAAACGGTGTCCACGATTCCGGCAGACTGGTTTATCTGAAATAAAAAAATCAAATTGCATTTTAATCTATAGGTGAATGGCTATCGTGGGAACTAGGATTTTTTGAAAATATTAAAAATTCAATTTTTCGCATGCTTTTAAAAATTATAACTCAAAATAGCATGATTTTTTGCGACTATTTTTTATGCGGACAGAAAACGGTTCAATATTTTTTAAAAATTCTAGTTCACACGATAGCCACACATGTGCTGAATCTACCATTAAAATTTTATTTAAATCCATTGAACCGTTTTCGAAAAATCATGGACACCAGTTAAAAAAATCCAGTTTTGAGAAAAACGCGTTTGAAAGTTCACGTGTGAATTACACCATGAAATTTTTGCTTACCACTAATCTGCTATTCCTGGTGCATAGAGTATCCCTTCCTCTTCTTCTTGCAAATTTCGTAAGGCCGACTGCTCCTCCCTGGCTGAAATTCTAGCCTCTCTTGCCGCGTCGCTCATGCGCTGCTCGGAACGGCTGATCCGGGCTTCGTCGCGGCGCTCTACATAAGCGTGCGTTGATCGTCCAATTGAACAGCCCATCGTATGCATTATCTTAATAATGCCTTGGAAGCCTTCATTAAAGATGACGACGGCCAAAAAAGTTGCAATCTGAACTATCTGAGCGCCTGAATGTAGATGTTTCGGAGCGAACGTCCAAATGAGTGAATTTAACGACTCATTATTATTCTGCGTCTCTGCTCCTAAACATCGGGTCAAAAGATCATCCTTGGATAAATCTTCATAGATAGATTTAACTACTGCTTGTACTTCCTTGGATAATGGGGCCTTCTCGTGATGGAATTGGTCGAGCGTGCTCTTAGCTTCAGCCTCAGTTTCTTCGCTGATGCCGACGTATAATCCAGATCATTTTCCAACGAATAACGGTTTCCTTGAAATTTTCTCTTCTTTTTTCGCTCAGCATGAGCGTGAGTTTCTTTTGTTCCTTTCCTGTCACTCATTGCAAACTTGAAGCACTTGCACGGTACAATATTACTGCTTACGACGACTCAAGAGCTGTTACGCCGCTGACTGCGAAGCCAAAACTAAGCAACCGTTACATTCCATTTGAGTTTCAGGACAGCAGCGCCCTTCTAAATATGTGTGCGTATACGTGCGTGTGAATAGAATCGGCTTCAGATAAGAATCCGAAGGTATACAATAGCTCTTGTTCCCCGCCCTGCCGAGCGCTCAGCTGCGTGCTTAAAACACCTTACCTTCTCACTGCTGTAACTTTTCAATGACTTCGAATTTTGGAAAATTACTTTGCCAGTATATTCTATGCATGCTCTAGATTA